TCTGGCCTCCAGTGAGCTATTCATCTCCGTAGCGCCTCCAAATGAAGTCATCAAGCTGCGACCTGATTGACAAGCTAAACTCCACCCCTCCATTCTTCCTAGTGTCAAGTTGACACCAGATTATGTAAGGTCAGGAAAAGGACACACTTCAAGGAAGGGATTTCCTCCATGGGGTAAGAAGAGCACTGTGGGGTCAGCAATGGCAAAGGTTTCTTATTCTGCCCAGGGCCCAGCGCCTGTGGACAAGCTTAGTTTCATCTGTGGACCCAGGAGGAATACCTTCTCTGCTCCCTGATGAGCGAATGAGACCCTTTCATAACCGTGAGATTCCATAGCCTTTGAAGAAAAGTCCCAACTCCCTACTCACCCTTTCTGCCCTCATCATCCCACAACGAGAGCTCTGGGGTCTCCTTTCCCAGTCCCGACCTCCCATTGGGTCAAGCTGCCTACCCTGGACAGTTTATTCACCTCCCGTTCTAGAGAAGCCAAACTCAACTCTGTGTGTTCACTCAACTCTGAGGCCTCTCCTTACGCCCCAAGACCCCTGCCCCGCACCTCAGTAGGCACCCAGTCTTCTCACACCTTCTCTGTTTCTTGCCTTGGCCCCACCCGAGAGCCTTGTGAATTTTCACTGTGTGGACGCTGAAGCCTGGGCCCTGATGAGAGGGCAGGGAGAGACTGAGCAAGACAGCAGATGAATCCCACCAGCCTTCTTCTCCTGCTCCGGCGAACATCTCTCAACGAGAAAATACTAACTTGGAAAACAAAGCATGAAACAGATGGAGACAATGACAGGGCTAGAAAGTAAAAGGAGCCCGGGGCGGAAGGCGGTCTAGAACTTGGAAGGCAAAGGACAGCAACAGACACGCCCGCGCACATGACGGGTGGGTAGCTCCCAGCAGCTCACCTCGTGAGCTGGGAAGGATGGCGCCAAACTGGTTTGCCCAGAAATAGGATCCGACAATCAGGGTCGGTTGTGTGGAAGGAAACATCTATCTCGAACGAGAAAACTGGCCTCGGATGCAGGGTCAGTGTTTTAGGAACAGGAAGAGGCTGTCTTGGGCATAACAAGGCCAGCATGGGATTCAGAGAATTTGATGTCCAGCAAGTGGGCATTGGCGACGTAGGATGGGCATCGGCCGTGAACAGCCCCGTAGGGCACAAACAGGAGCCATCACCACCGAGGGGATGCTGGGTGTCAGCCGAACACCCACCAGGAAGAGAGCCACCCTCGAGATGGCAGAAGATGCAGCACAAACGCACAGGCCATTGTATGTATGAACCCCCCACCCTCTAGCACACACAGACACACACACACACACACTCTCTCTCTCTCTCTGTGACCTGAGTCCTGACGTGGACAAGCGTGTCTCACCCTTACATGTCTCGCTCTTATGTGCCCTGTGCCCCGCGCCCTGCACCACACGCACTCATAAGCGCAAACAGCTGTGCAAAGAGACAGAAGAAGGAATCAATGGGTCCAGAGACTATACAAGTTTTGAGCCGACCGAGCTTGGTTTAGGGTTTGAGGGTTCCAGCTCCCCTTAAGACAGTGGCCGTGCATACGTAGGAACTTTTTAAAAAGAAAAATTTACCTAGGCCTTATCTAAGAAGAAGGCACGTGGCGCAGGTGAGTCAGGAGAGCCCACCCAGTCATGTGGGGTCTACCCCCTCGCCCCCTTCAGGGAGCGGAGAAGACAGCTGTTGAAAGTTCCTCTTCGGATGCTTAGCCCCAGCAACTCACTGAAGGGTGGGGGCTCAGTTTAAGTGCTGGGTCATTTCAACTCGAGCCGGTGGCTGTAGAGGCAAGATAGGGTTGTGCCGAAGGAAGCTGAGTGCGCATGGCTGTGCGCTGGCTGGGGCCAGAGCAAGGGGAGGAA